ATTCCTTCAATTTTGTGCAATGGGCCAACACCATCTCCCGTCATACACCCCTGCAACATATGTATGCATGTGCGTATGTACAGCAAATTTCTGTTATTGATTCAATTTTGCTCCTTACTATAGATACAGTGGATGTAGCGGTGAGATCAAATTCAATATGTACTCATGAAACCAAGTCAAATCTAATTAAAAAAAATTCATTTATTCCTATAAGTATACAAGATATAATATAGCACTTGTGAGAGATAATGTTTAATTATATGTATTTATAAAGTATTTAGAATATCGAAATCTAGGTGTTAAAATTAACTATCATTTGTACCTATGAATAAATCAATGAGCATATGTATGTATATATGAATAGATTCTTCTCCTTCTTCTTTTTCTGTTCTTTTAATACTTAAGTCGGTTATTTTGTTGGTAACTTCATCTAAAGCGCTGCAACATTTACGAGTTTTGTAAAATAAAATAAAATAACTCTTGTTGAACTTAAAATTTTTTTGTTTTTAACTTTCGGTTTTTTAAAAATTATATTTAATGTTTATTCCTAATATATATATATATTTTTTTTCTTTTTTTTCGATACTTTCTATATCTATTGTTTTATAAAATTATGAGAAAAATATATAACAAAGTAAAAATAAATTTTATATAAGACTCAATATTTAATTAAAGACAGAAGCTAAATGAATATATCGCGATTTCAGAGATAGAAGAGATATTTAAAATATATAAAGAGTATTTAAATATATAAACACATTTAAAATATATAGAGTTGAGCGCCTTACTGTCAGTCCATGTATTATGTCCGGCGGACTCGCTTTAAGTGTTAATTTATACGTTCACTATTAGTTTATCATTCATCATTTGACTATTGTACGAAGTAGTGCATTTTCACTACAAATATTTCGATATCAAAGGACAGCAAATATGAGTTCTTGTGAGATTATTGTTCAGAATCTCAAGATTTATGTTGAGTGTAATATGTGTTCTAAGAAATGAAAGTTTAGTAAATGTACTATTAATTTGATTGAACATACAAAAATTCATCATATCTGGACGAAAGGGAAACGTTAATATTTCATAGAAAACTATCTCGAAAATATTTTCGACGAAGATATTTCATTAATTTCATTTCAATTATAATGTTCACAGTTAAAGTTAAATATATAAAAATATTGTATATATTTCAAATAGAAGTCATTTTTTTCTTTCATATAATAATTCTAGAAGATTAAAAATAAATTATTTAATTATAGATTTAGTATCAATTGATTATATCTTCGATCTTTATCGATTGGAGAAAAATAGTGGATTCATTGTTTTATTCAAATTCTTCAAAAAGTATTATCTCCTTAATGGAAAGTTATTAAAATCATGGCAATACTAAAGGAAAAAATTCTAAATCAATTACTTCTTTTGAATAGTTATGTTAATAACTAATAATAATTGTAATAATGCAATAAATACGTATGTAAAGTACAACTAAAAGATAGTATTATTATGTCATTTTTAGTAATCGTAATTAACTTAATAATTTTTCATTTTTTATGTACAATCGGTCCATCGTAAAACACTTATTCATATGGATTGAAAATGTAATTGTAAACATTAAATCGTTTCGTGTAATCTTAACTTTATTTGAGTAATAGATACTTGTTAAAGTACTCATAAAAATAAAAAGTTCATTCATTGTGACGTCGGACGTCCCGGTCCGTTTACTTAGGCCCAAAGTTATCGTAGCGTGTCTACATTCGGAAATACAATCCTGACATTCTGCACCAATGCGTTTATGTTCGGCCACTTTTCTATTACATCACGAAACATATGCAATGTGAAATGTTGTGTAATTGCTTCTAGAATCTAGGAAAAAAAGAGACGATTTGGACTTCTTCTTGTCCGCATGAAGAAATTTATTACTTTATTTTTAATTATAATAAGCCAAGAGCAACGGATCACTCTTTCATGCAGAGAAGAAATCCTACGTCTGCTACGAGCTATCACGTTGTTGTGTCGTGTTGTCTTGCACCTACTGTTTTCATTCCCGGCCGTTGACCCATGAGCCTGTTATGTTTGGTGTCCTCCAGGAACGGTTAGCATCTATCGTTCGGTCAAGGCCCCAAATTCGTAATTCTAACTGACCTACATCAAGGAAATCAAATGAACTATAGTTTGAAATGATTGGTTAGGACTCGCGAATGAAAGAACATAAAACAGGCTCGCATCGACAGCGAAATTGCCATAATTGATTATAAAGTGTTTCAATAAGTATTTTTCTGTTCTTATATCTTAGAATCATTATTTGTCGATATACATAGTTACATTGATTCGCGTGTTTTTCTCGTCATTTCCTTCAAAGTCGAGCCGACTGCTTAACACCGCGAACGTGTCGCGTGCGAACGACGATCCTGTTCTGAAGGCGCTCCAGTCTGCAAACTACACCGCGGATCCCGACCAGAATCGAGATATTCGGGATATTCGTACGCACCGGTTGGGCAAAAGGGTTGCATCCTGATACGCATCTCGGTTAAACAATAACGTTCTCTATTGTTTTATCGTCGTCCGGCGAGCTGAGATGTAACATATATGATCAACAAAAATTCGATTGCTTCAATACATTTTCACAAGTATTTATTTAGTATAAAGGGTTCGAATTAATGCTTGATCCCATCACTAAGTAGATACTGTCTATAAATTTTTCAGCATGATATTTCTTACTATGGTACATTGGATAACAGTAACGGAGCAAAAGTACAGTAATAAATACAAATGCATCTTAAGATTTCCATCAAATTAAATATCTTTTTATCCTTTATTCTTCTTTTTCTTTATCCTACTCTTCCCTTTAATTAAGAGACAGTTTAAATTTCTTATCTAACATAAGTGAATATTTTTCGTTCAGATGTTTCGTTTATTTGTCGTATTCTCAGCTTGTTACTTTGTTACATGGCATTTGAATTTGCCGGAACAGAAAATTTCGTTAATTAACAATCTTGTTATTTTCCCGGATGATTGCACAGACTGAAGAACTTGATATTAATTTGGTATAACGCGTCGCTTCTATTATTTTCCCTTTGTTTGATTTTTTTACTATTTATCGCTGTGATTGCCTCTTTTGAAGAAAAATAATTGTACCTACTGAATGAACCGGAAAGAACGATAACGACACCCAGCTAACTACTTGCAAAAGTGTTGCTATGAACATAAGTTTCTCACGAGAATAGAAATTAACTTCCATTCTGTTATTCAAATAGTTATTTAAATAGTTTATTTTTTCCCAATCTTTTACATAATTCTTGTAGAAATATTTTAGTTTCATTTATATCTTTCGTGTCTTTTATGATTTTTTTTTCAAATTTATTTTCTTTTTTTTATAGAGAGTCATATTAAGTTTGAGTGAAAATGCAAGAAGGAACAGTTAATCAACGAAGTTTCGTGGAAAATGTTTGTATTGTATATTATCGATGCCATTAAAGCTCGCTGAAACGAGCTAATTGCTTTTCTTTGTTGCAAGCGGCAGGTCTTTTAATCTTATTACTTTCATCGATTTTCCATCAAGCTCCTGAAGGAATTTCAAATAAACGTTTATGAAAAGAAAGACAGGTGAATGCGACGCGTAGCTGACAGAAACATTTCGAATATATTGCCGCTCATTTTGCTCTTAAGTAAGCAAATCATCCAACTATAAACATATGTAAATTCAGATCAGCGACGTTACAATGTACAAAATCTTTTGCATGTAAAACAAAGCTTCCCTTTTTTTTTTTCTTTTTTTTTTTTTTTTGAAATATTACTGTGAAATTTGACTATATTTGCCCCCCTCATTTTATCATGATTCATCTCTCGAATAAATTCTAAACGTTTACTTTTTTATTTCTCTTTTCTCAACACGTTCTTAACACGTCACATTATGCCGTTTCGGCAGCGTTCGATCATCATTTTCTAAACCTTCAATCGCTTTCCTTCTTCCTCGTCTTCTTCAATGTAACAAATTAAATTACCATATTCATTACGAAAGTTAATTGATTAAAATTGACATTCTTTCGGTAGTAAGAGCAACATCGTCAGTTTTATCGATTTTTTGTATTTTGAATGGACGTACCTGTATTCAATGACACCCAACTTGGTAGAACTTTTTATTTAAATTTTGAGACACTTCAAATGGGAAGAACTTTGACTTTAGCACAGTACGTATTCGTCAGCAACAGGTCTCTATAACACGTAAATCGAAAGAACCAGGACGAAAGTACGACAAAGCGCTTTCGGCGTATGCGATATCTGAGTAAGTTCATCTGGAGAAATCAAAAGATATCCCATTATTTTTGTTTTAATTGGACGAACAGTGAAATCAGCCAAGCGTATTTAAACACATTCGCGTTGTAAAAATATTCCTTTTATGTGATATTTCTCGTTCATACGTTACGCGAGTATTATTGATTTCGTTTTGGTGTATATAAACAAATCTACGTTCGGATTTATAATTCTCAATTTATATAAGTCGGCAGTTTTTCATATGCCTTCCCATCTCATATTTCGTAACGCGTAATATTATCGTGGCACGTGACGATGTAAAAATTTCTCCCGATAGATAAACATTGATAAACAGAGGGGTGAACGTGACCAAGCATAAAATGAGATGTTAAGAGAGTTGCGGGTCACGGGATCGAAATTAAACGAACGAGGTATAAATTATTTTTTCATCGTTTGCTGGTGATAATGAAAAAACGAACGACTAAGAGCGTAGTGCGTTCCCCGGGGTATGAACCAGTATGTGCACCTTACCACTGTCGCTTTCTGACCGAACGACCGATTTTCTATCCTTGTCTTCTTCCCTCCGATCGGCCAATCTGCTTTGATCTTTAAGGATGTTCTTCCGTCAGAGCCCGTAGAGGTCGGTCCGCAGCGTGAAAGCGCAGTGAAACGACCGCGAATCGTGCATGCGCGACTATCGATGGCGCACGCGCCAGTCTCGTGTCTTATATCTATAAGGGCAGCTACCTTTGTCGAGGCCAGTCAGTCCTTGCCCGTTTACGCTCGGGTTACGATTGATCGCTCGTTTGATGACCTTGTTTTGGTGCATTCTTTTATAAGGCAGGAATTCCGCAAGATCAGGACGGATAACGTGTCACGGAAATCGTCACCAAGTTGAACCAGAGCGAACGATTCGTGATTAGTTTTCTGTGAAGTGTCGTCGGTTGTATTGCGCGCCACTCGTTTCTCTTGCCAACAGGCGAAACTGTCGCTACGGGACGACGATACGATTCAGAGTTCGAAAAGGATCTATGTGAAGATGAACGATCTAGTTAATATCTTGTTGGTACAAACGGCTCCTTAGACACGCGACAACGTATCTCGCTTTCGCAACGTCTCCTGCTCTACTCTGTGAACTAGTTTTGTGGCCATCAACGACGGTCACTTGGGAGTTTCATTATCAGTTTCATTACAGAACGTGCCCCTCCACGCTTTCCCAAGATCAACCTGTCACGGATCACAATATCACTGAGGTAAGTTGTTAAGACGCATTGACCGACAGCTTCCTCCTAATCCTCATTGATATTTGTAAACGATGTTACGATACTATTATTTCTATATTATTAATCGATTGAACATTGTAGCAACGAAGAAGATTATTACAAGCGTATTAGTTGCAAATAATTCTATAAAATAATAAATATGAATTTGAAAAAAAGGTTGATCAACAACTGGGTATAAAATTAACATCGCAAAAATATTCATGGATTATCAAGACTCGCAATGAAACGCATTGCGCAAATGTCGAGGTATATTTGGATTGAGCATTTTATATGGGACAATATAACTTTGGACTTGGAATTGGGATTACGTGTAGCGTTTGAATCGTTAATACGCGATTAACTCTCAAAACGGAAAAATATTTCATTGTTGTCGATCAATTATTTTTATTCCAACAGAAAATTCTCGTGGTGATTTGTGCATGACATAATATGTGAACATAATACATTCAATGTCCGCAATAATTGATATTCTTTCCATCGCTTCCTATATATAACGCGAAAACAATGTCATATTATAGATTAACGCTTTCGCGGAATCGATCAAGTAAATTAAATCGAACTCAAAGCTCGGTTCATTCAACCGGATGTGTGGTTTGCACGAAGCATGATGAACAAGACATTTCTCGAGTAGAATTGACAAAGGGAAACTCGTTGAAAATTAATTCAAGTTCGATTAAACGGAGAGTTTGAGAATAATCTTTTGAATAATTCTTTTATCTGTATTTTATCAAGAATCTATAACTTATTTCATCGATTGTATGATGCTATAATCGGTATAATTTCGGTTATATGTATGAAAGAGAAAGAGAAAAGAGAGAGACAGTGAGAGAGAAAGAGAGAAAGAGAGAAGAGAGAGGGTGAGAAGGCGGGAGTCGGAGAAAGGGGAAAATCTTGATGGAGAAGACCGTTCTCACGGTGTTGCGGTTCGTTGGCGCGGTTTGATCGAAAGGGTATTTCCTCGGCACACAAGAGAAAAGTTCTTCCGGGAAGATAAACTGCTCTTCCCTCTTAGCGTTCTTCGCTAGAAACTTGGTTGGGCGCGGAAACTTCTGTGAAAGATTCACAAAAGATTTTTTTCCTCTGGATGTTGGAATATAATTCAGAGAAGAGCGGGTAAAGTTTTCTCGGTGGAAATTTGAAGCGTACGTGTACAAGGTCGATGCAGCAGCAATTTTCATGGAATTATTCGGAAGATTAATTATTGCTCGCAAGTTTCCAAGTTAAAAGTAACGAAAACCGAAATTGACGTGAATTAGGAGCTGCACAAAAATGGAATATCAAATGCAACTGCGCTATTTCGTGTCTCTACATACCGAGAGAAAATGAGCGCAACGAAATTTGTTATGTAGAAGCACGCATCTAAAGACGACAGTAATTTCATTCGTTATCATCCAAATTTGACTTGATTTTACTTTTATTTTCGCCTTTTACTATATTCGATTGTATTCACAGCTTAACAGGCTATCATTTCCCGTTTCTTTTTTCTTCTCGCAATTTATTTCAACCACCGGCTCTCCCAGAAGACGGAATTGAGATTCCTTGAATAGATAGCGTAAGCAGTGTGGATGAAACAATTTTATTTAAGTGTTTTCTGTACTGTTTTCTCGATGATGAAATGTTTTCGAGCGGTTCATTCTGCCGGAAAATTGGGTCGTTCGATGCTGCTATGATCGACACTGTATCGACTCTGATAATTAAAAATCCCGCTGCTGAATTCGACGAAAAATAATTAGTCGGTGCAAAATGTTATCGCGTTCATCGCTCGAGCGAATCTTTTGTCATCTGAATCCCTTGCGAAAAGTAGGTCGAACTTTCGCGGACTTTCGCTTCTTCTCTTTTCCATCATCTCTCTTTCTCTCTTACGCTGCATCGTTGTGCTATCGGTGGATCGATTCTGCAATTATTAGGTAATTACCGCGGTGCGCCGGGAATAATTTCAGAATCGATTAGAGGAGAGGAAGGGACCGAGTCGTTTTCCATCGGATCGTTCGTCTAACTTCAATTTCCACCGACTTTTGCTCGACAATTTGTTTTAGCTCATTACTAATAACAATTAAAGTTGTAATCCGAGTAAATTCGAAAAACTAATTGCAGATAATAGTTATGATATCATAGTTATATAATTTGAAATCATAGTTATATAATTTTGTAGCTTATATCTACATTTTATAGAGTCGTAAAACGTATCATGATAAAGTGTTATAAGATTATAATACAATCAATTATAAAACTAAAACTAAAAGAATGATACTCATGTAAGTTGAAAATTGAAATACATAACTAAATTTAAATTCTCAAAATCTTGTTATGTACTCTGTTTATACTCTGTTTTATATATCTGGTTTCTAGTAAAAGATATCTCTGGAAGATGCGCAGGTTTCGATCATTAACGAAATTCAATTCGAACCTCAAAGAACGGTATGGAAATTAGGAAGGAAATGAAATCGGGATGAAATTTTTCAGAGAATCGACGCACCGGCCATTACCGCGAGGATGACCCAATACGAGGCGTGTTTGCAGCCATACTTTTCTTAACGTCTCCATTCTGAATTGTGCCATCGAGGAGAACATCATCCTCCGAGATCAGAGCTCGAAGCACAGATCGACGAACGGGGTGGAGGCGCGATAAAAATAAAGAAAATGGGAGTGCCAGATGTAGAGCAGGCTAAGAGACGACTGCAGGATATTCTTAGGAAAGCACAGAAGCTCGAGATTCCTGCGCAAGAAGTGATCTCGACGCGGACCGCCCAGAAGCTTCTTGCCAGGACGAGGAACGTCCTGGCATGGACGATTTGGATCACCGTTTTTGTTCTTCTGCTCAGTGGTGTGGTCTATGTCCGTTGGCCGACGAAACAAGAAGTCGAGACCATTAGGACTGTCCTTAGGCGAACGGTGAGCCACGAAAATTATTTTTTTCATCCTTATTGCAGAAACTTATTTATATTATAAATTACAATAGCTTTAATTATATACAAGATCTTTGCTATCGTGGAATTTTCGAGGATCGAAGCTTAGTAATCGTTAGCCGCGATAGTAGAGCGATTATAAAATGTGCGTCTCGGTGTTTCGAGTTCCACTTGAATCGAAGCTTTCCAATACAGAGGTAGCTTATACGAAAGTTACATATATTTTAAGCAATTAGTCTGGCAGAACTCAATGAGATACGGTGACACGCTTTAAAATAAAAAAATCGCCTCGACGAATGTAATCGTTGATATTTAGAAATAACAAAAGAGCTTACTTGCTAATCGACTTGAAACTATTCGTAATATCATTGGTTAATCAATTGAAAAAATATTGCGAATGGTGATCGCGTAAGGATCGATCGGTTTTTATTTCTGAATCCTGGGTCAATGAGACCAGTATCGAACTCTGTTTATTGTTGTTTTTTATTTTTTATTTGCTAATTGGAATTTTCCATGAATTAATTCACCTAAAATCCCTTTCGATTTCTTCTAATAAACTACAACTGTGTTTTACTGTGTTTTACACGTGTTGCGATCAGTCATTACTTACAATTAGATTATGTCTAATAAGATAATCGTTGCATATATTAATTTACTTTACGATGGCGTAGTTGATCTGTCGAATACCTATAAAGTTTTTTTTATAAATACACAATAAAAATATACAATATTTTTATAAATACTTCACAAAATTAAAGAATTAATAAATTATAACGAAAATTTTCAATTCTTGAGCTCTTATAACTTCGAGTAGAAGAATCGTACATTTTATCTGTACTCATATTAAAGCGTGAACCCTTTACTATCAGAATTTATAGTTCAAAAAATGAACATATTCTCTTTTTTTAAATATTTCAGACGTTTCTCCGAACACGGTAAAATTTTTTTCACGGTAAAATTCACTATTTAAAAATTCTTATAATAATCCTGTAAAATATAATGTACGATTCTTTTTCGTTATTTCATTCAGCTTTAAATTAAAAGTATGCTATTGGCATTGGAATAATTCTTGGTGTACAACTAGAAAGTTATACAGTTTGATATTTCATGTGTACGTGTTTAATGTTTAGTATGACTGTTTAATGTGTGTATGTATGTATGTATTTAGCATATAATTCGTTTTAAAACATGCATCACGCACCAAGTGTGCGCGAGCGAGTACAAAATATATATAGATACACATTCTAAATACTAAACACATACACTGAATAGATACTAAATATACATACTAAGAACAAATCTCCTTATACTGTACTTTAAGTTATTCTAATGTCTTGGTGCATTTTTCATTTAAAGTGCAATAAAATTGCGATAAAAAAATCTCTAAAATTTCCGAGAAGTCAGTGTAAAGAAAAGACGTCAATTTGCAACGTCATTTTGAGATAAATGTGAAAAAGAATTTTTGAACTCCATGTCGTTTGATTTTACAATTTCGAATGGAAGAAAAAGGCAACTTTAGTTTCTCACTTTATTTTATAACAAAAAACAGTTTTTGAAAGAATTAAATTCAAGATAGATTAGTTGTATCAGCATGTACGTGAATTTGATGGCTTCATTTAAAGTATGCACGCGTGAACGCGACGAACAAGCATTCATCGCGTTATTAAATGAACTTCAAATTTCGTCAGTTGTACTAGCTCCGAAATTAAAACGGAACGAGTTCAGGGAATAATAAGCGCTTGGCGTCGGTCCAAAGCACAGCCAAGCTCGTTTTTCTCGCGACACCTTATACGCACAGATTATTTCGTCATGTTCGTTATCTAGTGGCGTAGAGGATTTGTAATTCCATGCCGGAATACGGTACTTAATAGCGTAACGACAATAATCCTTGTATAACGTGGCTCATGCGTCAACATCATTGACAGACAACACTATCGACAGAGTTGTTACTGAAATGCATCACCCCTCCTATTCTACCTTTTCTATGATCAACGTTCTACTTTCGCTGAATTTCACAGATTTACCGATTCGATTTCTTTTCCAACCTTTTTCGTTCTAAGTTGCATTAAAGAGTTGAAAACGTTTTCACTTTATCGGAGAAGATTCTCGCTTTGTCAGAGAATGTTTTTGTTTCATCGAACAATATTACGGTTTTTCTAACAACGTCGACATCTTTAAAATTATTTGCGACAATTGTCTACGTCTACGTAACAAAATAAAATAAAATATAATAATTAAAAAACTATATAAAAAATATTGGCACATATCTCTGTTTTAATAATGAAGTTCTTTTTTATCCGGTTCTACATTGCATTCCATAATATCAAATTTTTATAGTCATATGAAAATATTAGTTAATGATATGAGATATAAATTAAATACAATATTGTGTCAGTATTTTTTGTAGCTATTGTAAATGTAAGTATTTAAAAATATAATTAATAAAGTTTTAAAATCTATTAATGTAAATTTTGTATCTTGACTGTGATAAATAAAAAGTATCAGTTAATAAAAGGATTAAAGCTTAATCAAAATCAAATATTTGATAGACAGATATTTTCTAATTGCAGGAATATCTTGTATAAAAATGTAATTTCTTCAAAAATTCTTTAATATTTAACACGCAATTACACATTACGTATTAAAAGCAAAGTTTAATTCCTTTTTTTTTTTAATCATCGATAATAAAAGAAAACCTTATCTTGTTTCTGAGATCCGATTACTTGTATTTGTAACATCTGTAGAGTATGGAACGAATCTCTCCTTCGAATGGAAATCTCGTTGCGTTCTCGATGAAAGCAGTGCTTCTGTATTTTTGCTGGACGTTAATCGACGACATGAAACGAGATTTTTTATCGGTGACATGGGAAGTGATTCCGACGGATTAAGCGGATAGAGGTGGAGATGGAGCAACAGTAGCTGATAAGAGACGAGTGCGTACGTCCATAAAAAACAATTTGCTTTGTCGATTTGTTTGAAAGTGTTCTATAGCGCAGTTACGATTCCAATTTATTCGACATCGCTATAGATTATTAAACGCCTGGAGCATTGGGTGACGAAAAACGTGTTGTCATAGTAGTTCACGACAGGATCGAATCAATGGAACCTTTCGCTTTTCGCGAATTTCATTTCATTTACTTTTAATCAAACAAGTGTGTAACGTAATCAAGGTGCTGCTATTTCGTCATCACGCAGCTTATATTCTCGGAATCTCTTTAATCCTAAAAATTAAAGTAAAAAAGTTTTAAAACTTTGTTCGAAAAAACCAAAGGTTGATGGCTAAACGAGCGAAGTGGAATCTTTGGGTGGTAGTTGGTGAAAGAACGAGTTGCGAGGTAAAAACGATTACAATATCTTTGTGGAAAAGCGATTATCGGCTACAACGTTTTAAACATTATAGTAGCGCAGAAATAGAACGCTACTCCTATTAGATTATCATCTTGATTGAAGTTAGCTACAAAATTTCCCTTTGCGACGTAATTTAGCTTTAGCGAAATATTTTTAAACGTGCGTAAAATTGTACATTTAGTTCGTGCGAATTAGATACAGTACGTAGACATAATATAGATGCAAGGGAAATTTTCCCGACTGATGGAAGGAAGGATGCGGGTGATATGGTAGGGCATTTTGCATTCGGTCGAGCTGAAAATTTACGCGGGGCGAACATTATTCGTAAATTCGGCGAGCCGAGACAGGCGTTACTTCAAAAGTAGCTAACGAACCGGCTTCCGACTTACGAACGCTGTGGTTGGCTGCATGGTAATTGCGTTAACTTACTTAATTAGGATCCTGCTCGCTAATCAACTCGAAATCTCTTTTGAAAGGTTGTTCAGTTTCTGCCCTATAGCTTTCCGCATTACACCTTTATTTTCGGCGAACCTTTGAAAGGTTAATTTACCACGGTATCATTTATCAGCCGCTTGTTCTCGCTATTCTCTATGTTACTATATTAAATCGATACATACGTTGACTCATTGTTATCGTTCTATTAAATTTAACATTGTGATTGGCAACTGCGTATCTGAAATTTTTTTCCACATTTACCTCGAATGAAATACCTTTATCTATTCGTTTCTTCTGATTCTCGCAACAATCACGATCGAATATTTATCTGGAAATTGAGAAATTGGTAAGCTGAAAGCGATGTTCCCTGGGGATGATATCTCGAGAGAGAATTTATGTTTTCAGTTGGAGAGCAATAATGTTATATGGGATGGTGTTGCAGTTTTCTCCGAGAATAATTTTTCCGTTTTGAAATTCCTTGGGCGCATCTCACTGATACTTGTTGTATCGTGTATACTCATATTTTTCTGTTAAATCGTACACACTTCACGTCTCTATATTTTACGAATCATAATCTGCTTTTCATTTTTCCTCCCATTCGATTATCGATTGATTCTTGAATTTATAATTTTGTTTTTTCGACTTCTACACTGTCTGATTTTTGAATTTTCTGTTATTGTCAGGCGTCTCTTATTGATCTTCCATTACATTGCGATTGTTGTACATTGCGATTGTTGTATATATTCCGATCAGAATTGAACGGTTTCTATCACGAAATTGTATTCGAGTTCCTATTTTTAATTTGTTGTACGCGTTGCATAATGCATATCCTAGAAAAAACTACTACAAATAGATTAATAGATAGCACTTGTTTAAGCTGCACAAGATTTATTGAAAAATTTATGGCACAACATAAAAATTGAACACGAAATTTTGAATAATTGTACGATTACGATCAATTTTAAAAATGGAACGCATGAAAAAAAAAAATGAATGACAGAGTTGAACGTGAAATGAAATTTACGTAAATAAAAGGATTTTACTCGATTCGAAGTTTTGTTTACTAATGATAAAGATTTTCGATCATCTGATTAATTAGTCCTTATTTCTGGACGTGTACAGAATGTTGGCATCATTATCTACAAATTCGGATGGTGAATTAATTGTTGCTCACTTTCGAGGAGTTTGGTCGAGAGGCAAATT